CAACTCCCTGAAAGGAGGGTGTAGAGAGGCGGGGGTCGGTCTCTTCTCCCAAGTTACAGATGATAGGACAAGGGGTAATGGGTTCAAGTTGCGCCAGGGTAGGTTTAGACTGGACATTATCACAGAGAGAGTGGTCGGGCATTGGAATAGGCTGCCCAGGGAGGTGGTTGAGTCACTGCCCCTGGCTGTGTTTAAGAACCATTTAGATGTGGTGTTGGGGGATATGGTGTAGGGGAGAACTTTAGAGTAGGGTGGATGGCTGGACTCGATGGTCCCAAGGGTCTCTTCCAGCCTAGATAATTCTGTGATTCTGTGATCTGTGTTCACATGGCAAACCCTCCAGCCTAGATAATTCTGTGACTCTGTGATCTGTGTTCACATGGCAAACCTTCCCTTTGGCTACTACTCGCACGTGTATAAGATAAAACAGTATTCCTCCATCCCTTGCCCTCCCTCTCTTCACACACAGAGGCAAAGGATTCGCTGACATCACCGCAGTGATGCATCACAAATGTCATTTCGTTGATTTGAATAGTCTTTCTTCTTATTTTCGCTGGTGAGTATGAAAAGCAAAGCAGGGCTTCTTTTACATCTATGTACTAGCTGTTTTACTTCAAGCCCCATATTTCTCCACACTACTTACTCTACAAATTGTGCTGCTTTTGCAAGCAGGATGCTACTTCTGTTAAAGCTTTAAATAATGAACCTCTGGGTGAGTCCTTTATTCTTTCCATTGTTTGGTAAGGCAGGAAAACCCCTGCTGTGTATCTATCTCATGTTCTGTATTCATGTTGAGGGCTTCCCCAGAGACCTCTCCAGTACTGAAGACTCAGTGCAAGCAAAGCTGTTTCATTACTCCTGTGCATTTAATGATTCACTTATGGCCCTATCCTGCTTGAACCATTGCAACATTTGGTCCCCTAGTTTCATGGTAGAGTATACTTTTCTGCAGCTGGCTAAATTATCTGTGCTTACAAAGAATCTAATAAATTTAGCTCTTTTTCCTACATGTGATCGGATCATGAATAAGTCTCAACCTCAGTTTCCCTTCAAATAAGCTTCTTCAGATTGTAGGTACTAATTTCAAGGGCTTCATTAATAATTTTATACCGGAGTAGACATCACATATTTTGATTTTCCTTGCTTCATTTGACATTCATGACTGCTTAAAAATTAGAAATGAGCAGGGAATTGGAATGCCATTAGTCAATGTTTTTGCAAATCCACTCCTTTTTAAAATATATAAATTTGTAAACATGACATTTAGCTTTTTTAAAGCAGCCTATGAGTCTTAAGTTGAGTCTGTGTATAACAGAGCTTATTGCAGTGGATTCTGGACTGTGTCTGGTCACATAGCTGGTAACAAAATACAAAAGTATGAATTTGCCACCTGACAACTTGAAGTGACTGATCCCCTACATCGCACACCAGTGTAACTATTTGTTCTAGACATGCAACCTTTGATCTGTCCCTCTTCCTCACAGCCTGAGTGGCCTGATCTTGCTCTTTTGAACTGGTAAGAGCTTTTTTGTCAGTGTGATTTCAATACCCATGGGATGAAAATGAAGTCTATTTCAGTTGGGTGGTAAGGAAGGATCATGGTTGCCCAGAAACACCATGCTTTGCATGCCTAAATAGATAATGGTATGGTCTTTATTGATGATCTCGATAAGGACATAGGGTGTATCATCAGCAAGTTCACAGATGACACCAAGTTAAGCAGGAGTGTTGACTCCCAGGAGGATAGGGAAGCCCTACAGAGGGACCTAGATAGATGGGATCACTGGGCCAAGATCAATGGCATGAGTTTCAACAAGGGCAAGTGCCAGGTTCTGCACTTGGGCCACAATAACCCCATGCAGCGCTACAGGCTGGGGGAAGTGTGGCTGGAGCTGCCTGGAGGAAAGAGACCTGGGGGTTCTAATTGACAAGGGGTTGAATATGAGCCGGCGTGTGCCCAGGGGGGCAAGAAAGCCAACGGCATCCTGGCTTGTATCAAAAATAGTGTGACCAGCAGAAGTAGGGAGGTGATTGTGCCCCTGTACTCAGCACTGGTGAGGCCACACCTCGAGTATTGTGTCCAGTTTTGGGCACCTCAATCCAAGAGAGATCTCGAGGTGCTGGAGCGAGTGCAGAGGAGGGCAACGAAACTAGTGAAGGGCCTGGAGAACAAATCATATGAAGAGCGGCTGAAGGAGCTGGGGCTGTTCAGTATGAGGAAGAGGAGGCTGAGGGGAGACCTCATCACTCTCTACAACTACTTGAAAGGACACTGTAGAGAGGTTGGGGCTGGTCTCTTCTCACAGGTAATTAACGACAGAACGAGAGGGAACGGCTTCAAGCTCCAACAGGGGAGGTTTAG